GTTTTGTTTTGTTTTATTAATTCTTTAGTATATCCATGTCGTCTCGTTTCTTAATTACATCTTAAGGAACAATTTCTTTTATATATATATATATATATATATATATATATATATATATATATATATATATATACCTTTTCATACACCTTTATATCCCTTATTTTATTCCATTACTTTATCGTCTATAGTTATACCAATATTACGTCTATATTTTTTTTTTTTTATGCTAAATTTTATCATGATCAGACATGAAAAATTTCTTCTTATTCCAATCATTATACACCATATTAATCTGAATAAAATAATAATAATAATTATTATAATTATTATTATTATTATTATTATTATTATTATTATTATTATTATTATTATAACGTAAGAGTAAATCGAGAAATTTGATTGATATATCTTATAAATAAATAAATAATTGTTATTTCCTTTTAATATATAATCATTCGAGAAGGATAGACACCGCGATTTTTCCTTATCATTTAATTTATCATATATTATTAACGTTGTACATAAGACGAGGATATATTTTTTATCCTAATAATTATTCTTTAGAGATCGGATTCGATTTCATCAAATGGGAACCTTAAACTAGCCTTGACCAACCCTTTCCAGATGATAAAGAAAAAAGAAAGAGAGAGAAAGGTAAAGATGAGTTAGCAGGTTCGAAAAAGCGATTAGAAACGAACATAAGATATGTTGACAAAAGCAAAAGCAGAAAGCAGTCATGATTTTGAGGTGCGGCGTGCTGGCTGATCGTCTCGAAATCCCAAACGTGGATCTTTTTTCTTCCCCCCCCCCTCTTCTCTCCTCCCCCATCTTCTCTCGCTCCTGCCCCGCCCCGCCACTCCTATCCCCATCTCTGTATCTTTCTCTTTTTATCTTACGTTACATTCGATGCTTTTTCTTCTGATATATTAGGAGGAAATAACTATCAATGATGAAGCCAGTAAACATCCTGATTACTTTCGCGTAGTAAATTGCAACATATATATATATATAATATAAATATGTGTGTGTGTGTATATATATATTTATATGTATACTTATATGCACATACGTATGTATATATGTACGTATACTTCCGATTCGTCAGCTATCGAATTTAACGCAATTTCCTTTCGTTGAAGAACTCACGATAATGTTATGTCTAACAATGTCGAACGTGTAAAATGATTTTATGAAAAGAAAGATTGTTAACAATTATGAAGAAATATTATTTAATACGAATTATATCGTATCAATAATTCTTATACATCATTGATGATTTATTATTACATTTAAGAAATGGAATTCATACTGATACGATTTTACGTCATATTAAGAATCATCGTCTATAACCATACCGATTCCAATATTTTATCCATCATTGTCTGTCCATTTGTACGATCATCAGACTACACACGACATCACGACAAATCCATGCGCGAATCAGTTTGATTTGTTCGATCAAATGAGTCAATGAGTGATGTTTCGCTAAATAGAGAACAAAAGAATCGAATAAGACAAATATTATTCTACATTGCATATGTAATGCATTATCGTACTTTTTATACAAGCTGGATCGATTTCAAATAAAGAAACTTGAATATTTTAATTTGTTGATTATTGCTGTAGAGATAAGCAGACAATCGTATTTATTATTATCATTGTCGTTGTGAAAAATTGTAGTTTTGTAAAAAAAGAAAAAAAAATAGTT